GGCTGCTTTTCTACTCACCTGGGGGTTATGAATGGACAACACAGCAGGACAGGAGGCTTGATTGGAAACAACCGGAACCTGTTTGTTGTTTAAAAAGCCTCTCTCTCTCTGTATGTTTATGCTTCTCTCTGTCTCCACGTAATTAGGGTGCTGGCTGGAAGAATGATCAGCTGTCATCTCCAGTGGTGGCCTTCCACTGCCTGAATGTCAACACTGTCTGAGACCTCCTGTCTGAGTGAGCAGCACACTCAATTAGAGACACTCAGTCACTGCTGGAGCTGGTAGGACAAACACACTGACGTAGTTAGACACAAACAGGTACACACATACATGTAAGAGAGAGGGCTACTTTTATGGTCTAACAGTATATCTACATATACAAAAACGACATACACAGATGCACACACATTTTGATTCATAACAGTGGTAATTTGGTCACAGCCTTTAGTGGTTACATTAATTAAAACCAAAATCTGTCAAAATGATTTCTTTTTTGAGCAGCTGTGGCATTGCATGGCATTAACTCTGTCAGTCTGTAGGCACTGAGTGTTTCTGAGACAAATTCAATGATCCTTCTTTTCATGGTAGTCTTGTATAACATTGGCAGTTCTATCGTTTAATAGCATTTTCCATCAACTACAGAGAAGAAATGCTTTCTGCCTGTATTTGCTTAACTTCTTACACTGTTCAGCATCATTTTCTTTGACTAATGACAGTGCTGCTAAAAACCATCTGGGCGTCTTCGGGCCTCTTCACATGTAAGAGATTTAGCTGATGCTATTATCCACAGCAATGCATGATGGAATGAGCACTAAAAATAAAACAGCAGGGCAGAGGTGACTGGTGGATACACATGAGCTATTGCATGGATCAAATGTCACACTATTCATAAAGTATTTACAAATCATTTATTTATATCCTTTCACATTTACTTGATCTGCCAAGACCTCCGTTTTCTCTGCCCGGTCTGGGAGCCTTAAGACGTAATCGACTGTGCAGGCCAGAGTCTAAAGGTGTTAGTGAGATCTGAGGAGTCGTGTGGTGGTGGTGGTAGGGGGTTAGACGTTGGAGGCGGAAGGTCAGAAGGACAAACAGGAATGAAAAGACCACTTTCTGTGTTACATGCTGCGTTGAGTTAAAAGTAATGTGATTCTGGGTTAACAAAAATAAAGAAGCCATGTCTTTTACTTGAGTGGATACACATATTTGTGAGCGCATGTGTGCATGCTTGTCTATGTATGTGATCATTCTGCAAGTTTGTGTAGTTGTGTGAGGAGAGGAGATTGAGTTTAGAGAGATGTAAAGACTTTGTGGGCCCAGTGGAAATTAGAGCTCTCCATCTCTGTCCTCAGGCCAGTCTGTGTGTGTGGATGCTGCGTGTCGCTGCGTAGGTGTGTTCCTGGGGGTCACTGCAGGAAAAAGGAGAGAAAAGTCACAAACCTCTCACTGATAATCCTCACTAAGATATAAAAAAGTACACTTGTAGCAGCATAAACTGTGATGGCGCGTTTGTGTGTAACACGTTTACCAAGGTTTCTGGTGGACAGACTTGCACTGCCATGTAAGTGAACAGCATAACACAACCATACAATGCCTATGCATATATAGTAATGTTACAGACTGAATTATAGACTCTTATTTTGAGTTACACTGAAGAACACTTAAGCATCTAGCATTGTTATGACTCATGTAGACAGTAGCAGCTCCAGCTATCATCCTCTCTCTTCCTGCCACTTCTTTCTCCTGCTCAGGGGTAATTTTGTGCAGGTCTCTACCCTCAGTCATCTGCCTCAGGCTGTTGTGACTAACCTTTACCTCCATTCAGCCTCTTTTCTCTCTCCCACCTCTCTTTCTCCTTCCCTTGCCATCTCCTCAGCTGCTGCCTCTGCCCTGATTAATATGTTGTGTGGAAAAGTTGCCTTATGGGAAATTGTCTTGTTATCTCAGTTTCTTCTTCCTTTCCTCTCCATGATAATCCTCAGTTACAGACTGGACTAAGTGTCTTTAGGGTCTGGTTGCATATTGGTCTATTTGGGGCTGTTTCCTACAAACTTCTGTACAAGCTTCAGGCGTGGAGCTATAGTAGCATACAACCCCCACAGGTTTGACTCTGGTCAGTGGGAAAATGCTGATCCAACATCCACAACAACCTGTAAGGTTAAAGAATTGTGTTTTAATTATAAACAGGCGGCTGTGTATTTATTTGTTTTTATTTTTTAACAGGTCTAAACATTAACAATCTAAAAAAATCAATATATAAAAAGAATGATTAAGATACAAATTCTTAGGTTGTAAATGAGTAAATAATAACAAGCTTTTAGCACTTTTTCATAGCAGAGGGTAGATAACTAGGCTGTATGTGGTGTGTTTTTATATATTTATGTTGAAATTTGAAAGAAAACAAATTATAAGGTGCAATACGTCTGAGGTTTTCTGATTGATAGCAGAAAATGACCATTTACTGTATTTGGCTAGCTTTTAAAGGGCTGCTGATGACTCATGGATTAGAATTCTCATCTAAATCCCTTTAAAATCTTTATTAACTGTGTAATGACACACTCTGGGGCAGGGTTGCATTCAGACTGATCATGACTTCAGTCATGGAAATTGTATTTGGTATAATTGGTCTGACCAGTTTGAAGTTAAATGGAAATTGAAAGATTAAAATCCAAAAACCACTATGATCTATCAATATATTTATAGTCCTGTGGAAGCTTCTTATGATTTTGGTCATTCGGTGCTCCTAATTTAGATGGAAAACGTGCTTCTCACTTCAGCTCTGGATCATAATAAAGATAAATGCATGTTGTACTAATCACGTTCAGTCATGACTGGACAGGAGAGAAACAGCCCCGTGGTGGGAGATAAGAGTGACGTATGCCTCATATCTTTAACCAAGTTATCACAACAACATAATGGACATTCTGAAATTCAATACACATTACACACCACCAAGGGCATTTTCTGTGTTATTGCAATGTAAATATACCATATGAAGTTAAACAATGATGTCAAATTAGCACTGATGTCATGAAGAGCGG